GGGAGAGAGAGAGGGAGGGAGGGAGGGAGGGAGAGATGGGTAACCTGCATGGGGTCGTTGGAGATGCTGCCATCAGGAGCGCTTTTCCAGAAGAGCGCAGCGATCGAGTCTGAGCCGGAGGTGCTGATGTTGTTCCCAAACACCTGCCCCCTCCGTCAGCTCTTCCGCGTCTCCTCCTCTTAACCGTCTCGGTCGCGTACATCTCTTGTCTGCACGTAGAACTTTGAGGAGATGCCGGCCTCGGAGAAAGAGAGGCCCTCGCCGTAGATGAGGGAGAAGGAGGGGTCGATAGTGTTCGACTGGATGTTCATTAGGTAGGGGCTGCCGCTGATATGCTGATTGCCGTCCATCAAGACATGGATCTGCAGCATGTTTGTTAGATTCTCCTCGTAGCATGTAGTGCCTGGTCAGCAGGACAGATCGGGCGAGGAGGAGGAGAAAGCAGGTTGATGAAGAGCGACAGGTAGGGGGATAGGGAGGAGGGGGAAAAGAATGTGTAGTAGATCTGACCGAGTAGTTTCCAGTAGCTGTGATAGTATAGCTCACGTCGTAGGTCCCATCCAAGTTGTCAAGTTGGAATCCAGTCATTGAGTCTGGACCGAGACAGGGTTGCAAAATCTGCAGGACTTTCAATTGGCCTCGTCCTCCTCCGCCTCCAGCTCCCACTCATCCTCCTCCCTCTGCCTCCTTTCCCTGCCAATTCTTTCGTTCCTCTAAGTCCTCTCCTCATTCATTGTTCACACTTCCCCTCCTGCTGAACACCTGCAGACCTCAATTCTCCCTCTCCCTCTTCACCTCTGCCCTCCTGCTCCTCCTCCCCTTCCTCCTGCTCCTCCTTCACCTGCGTGTTTGGATCCTCCAGAGGGCCAAAGCAGGGCCCTGTCAGGAGCACCCGGATCGCGTCCTCCCCCCGGCCCTGATTCCCGCTGCTGTCACGAGCGATGATGGTGAAGGTACAAGTAATGCCAGCGGTACAGGACGACAGCCCGTCGCCCTGAGCTACGGACATGGAGTACAGGTTGGGTCCTGGACGGACGTTGATCTCCGTCGGAGAGTTGCTGATCTCGACGTTCATCGTGAAGATCTTCATCTGGAATATCCCGATCTTCTTCATCTTGTACTGCACCCTGTACCTGCACGCGGCAAGGTCAGCTATTGAGCAGGAGGAGGTGTCGGCGGTCAAGGGGAAGGGAGAAGGAAGGAGTTGGGAGGGGGAGGGAGGAAGAGGAGTAGGAGGAAGTACCGGCAACTTGTCTCTGTGAGCGTCTTGAGTACTTTGCCTGAGAGGAAGGAGCTTGTCTGGAGGTTCTGAAACTCAACTGTGAAGTCCGACGAGCAGTCTTGATTGTTGCCTCCGAAGATATTCCTCACAATGATGTTGAACTCCATGTCCTGCGTTTCGTGCTTACTTCCCTCTCCCTCTCCCTCCTCCTCAACATGCTGCAGCTGCCTTCAACTCTTCCTCCCCGATCGCGCCCTCCTCCTTCTCATCCTCCTCATCCTCCTCGTCCTCTCTTTGTCCTCGACCTCCGCTCGCTTACCTCGTTTGCTGTCGCAAACCTAGTAGCCTCCCCTACAGAGAAGCACTTCGGGGGAAACGCAGCGGTGTAATCAAACCTCCACCTGATCGAGAGGAGCGGCAGAGTCAGCAGATATGCATCTGAAGTCATGAAGGAGAAGTAGCAGCAGAAGGTAGAGAGGGAGGGAGAGTCAAAATTGCCCCTTGTTGTCCTGCACCTTCACCTACTCCTGCGCCTGCTCTGTCCCTTTCCTTCTCCCTCCTCCTCCTCCCTCCTCTCCTTCATAGCTCACATGTCCGAGAGTTCTCCGGCAACGACGTTGGCTCCCGAGAAGATGAACACGTAGGGGTCGGACAGCAGCATCCCAGCGCATGCTCGCGGTCGGGGAGCTGCACCTGAGACGATGACTGCCAGCCAAGTGAAGGCCACGTAGCTCTTGTCCAACGTCAACTTGAGCACCCAAAGATCGTTGAGATCCCCCCAGTCCTGGTCGTGGAAGTAGCTCGCTCCTCCGAACATGACGAGGTAGTTCCCAAAGATCTGCACTGCCGCTCCTTTCCTCGCCCTCGGGCTCCCTTGCTGGGGGTCGTCGAAGATGTTGAGCTTGTCCAAGGTGTACACGCTGCTCTCGTTGCTCGTCGTTACATCGACCTTCCACACTTCCATGATGACTTTCTGACACCCACGGTCAGCAACTGCTGAACTCTCTCCTCCTCCTCCTCCTCCTCCTCCTCCTCCTCCTTCCTCCTTCTCCTCCTCCTCTTCCTTGTCTTCTCTTCATTCTTCCCCTCCTCCTCCTCTCCCCCTCCTCCTCCCACCCGCTGCGACAAGAAGCTGTCCTGTGATGAGCACTGGTCCTGGCTCCCTGTGCAAACAGCTCCAGCAACGATCCGGAAGCTTCCTGGAGCTGCCGGCAGCATGGAAATACTCCAGGTGAACGGGAGGCCCTCGCCTTGGGCCTCCACCTGCTGCCAGCGGACGGTCAGGCTACCTGAGAAGCTCATCCTCCAGAGAGAGTTGGAGGGAGCGAACGAGTTCTGCTGCAGGCCCCCACAGACGTACATCTGCACGCGAGCGTCAGAGGGAGGAAGGATGGAGGGAGTGGGAGGAGGTGGGGAAAGTAGAGGAAGGAGAGGAGAAGGGAAGGGGAGAGTTCTGCCCCCTCCTCAGACTCCAGGGGCGCAGGAAGAGATCGATTACGTTATTTCCATCGACAGCAGCAGCGTGAAAGTACAGTCCCCCGGGAGTAGAGGAGGATTCGACTCGAAGGGGCCCGATGACCATCCCCATGTTGGAGGAGGAGGAGGAGGAGGAGGAGAGCTGAACGATGTAGACATCATCGTAGGGCAGGAGCCGATCCTCGGTAAAGCCTCCATAGATCACAGCAGCGTTCGCCAGGTAGGGGCTAGAAGTCGGAGACATGCTCACGCTTGAGTGGCCGTACCGGGACAAGGGGAGGCACTGCTGCACGCTAGAGCAGGAGGGAACGGCTGCTGTCGTGTCGTTGCTGCCGACGCTGAGCACGGAATAAGTCAACATGCTCCAGGTGGAGGAGGAGACGTCAAGAGTCCACAGCATAGCATGAGCGTGCATGTCGCTCAACCCCGCAAAGATCAGCATGGTGGTTCCTCCCACCAGCGTCAGTCCTGTCCCCCAGAACTCCGAGCCCGGTTTGATCCCGGGTACCTCCATCACTCCCCACGTCTTCGCCGTATCCTGGTAGAGGTAGAGCGCGTTGGATACGCTCTCCCCCTTATGCTGCCCGTCCTCCTTCGCGGTGGACGCATGCCGGGAGTCTCCGCCGAAGATCATATTGCCCGTGCTGCTCTCGAGGAGGGAATGATAGGAGAGGGGAGGGAGACCTGAAACAGGGGACATCTCCATGATCAGATTGCCGAAGTTCGCGTCCAACTGCAGCATCTCCATCGGGAGGGAGGTCGATCGCTGAGAAGCTCCTGGGTGAAGGGCAAGGATGTCAGAGTGAGCAGGGGGAGAAGGTGAAGGAGGAAAGGAAAGTTCTATGAGTGAGGAAGGGAGGGAAGAAGAGGAGGAGCTGGAAAGGACGAGGAGTCTGAAGAAGTTGACAAGGAGAGAAGGGTTGGAAGGGGACACACTGGAGGAGGACAGCAGGACGTCAGGAGACAATGAGAAAAGTTGGTAGAGAGGAAGTAAGAAGAGAGGAGGGAGAAGGAGCAAGAGAGCGAGGAGAGAGCGCAAGGGAGAACTCAAGAGCAAGACGTCACCGTAGGCAAGGACGGAATGCCCTCCGACCAGGATCGCCTTATGGCCGTACATGGGGAACATGGTGACTGTAGACAGGGGACGGATCAGCTGCCATGGGTTTCCAGTCGTGATGCCGAAGTCGAACATCCAGACGTCAGCAAGGATGGTCCAGGTAGAGCTGACGCCTCCGTGCACGAGCAGGCGGGTCTTGGAGATGGAGGCAGCGACGTGCGAGTGGCGAGGGGAAGGAGTGCCGTCTGCGGGAGTAACAATCTTCTGCCATGAGCCGAAGGACAGCTGCTTCTGCGACAGCCACTCGGTCTTGGAGCAGGGGACGGTGGAGGGGAGGATGCTGGGCCTTGCTATGAGCGCACCGTTCCCCTTGCTGCCATGGCGGCCGGAGGGAGAGAAGTCTCTGACCACTCCATCCACGTTGGCGCTCTCGAACTGCCACCAGCCCTGGAGCGTCTGGTCGTTGTTAAATAGTCCCCACATGCTGCTCTGAACCTGATCTGGGGTCCTTGAGACGTTCCACCACTTGACATCGTCCATGTACCCGTTGAAGTAGGAGGAGACAGCTTCATCCCCGTATCCCAGCACCAGCGACTGCGTCGAGTCGTAGGTACCAACTTTCAGCCCTGTCAGGTTCTTGCTGACGTCGACCTGGCCGTCCACGTAGAGGACAAGCTCGTCGTAGCCCCTCCCGCTGCCGAAGGTGACGGCGATGTGGTGCCAACTAGAGTCGAACACGTTGACTCTGCCCTTGAGGTGGATGTCAAGGGCTGTGACCCGGAGGTAGCTGGTCGAGGAGAGGCGCTGGATGTTGAGGTTTGACCCCATCGAGAGGATCGACTGATACTCCGTGTCAAAGTCAAAGATGAACACCCAGGCCTCGATGGTAAAGCTCAGCTTGCCCCCAGCTGTGGAGATCGGGTCGTAGATGACCACAAAGTCGTTGATCCCGTCGAACCTCGCCATGTTGTTCAACCTCTGCTTGCACGCAGCGTCGCGGGAGGAGGCGGATTGGACGGGCTTGAACGCCCAGAGGTCGTTGCTGATCAATTCCTTTGCTGCTCCTACATCCGCCACCCCACCGAAGACCAGGGCGTACGGCTCGAGGGAGAGCGGGTCCATGACAGAGCAGGAGTGCTTGCTGCGCTTGCTCGGGACCTCAGAGGAGGAGAAGCTGATGGGATTCCATTTCTGACTTCCAGGGTGAAATCTCCACATATCCTGCAGCCACACACTGTCTGCCGCTTCTCCCCCGTGGATGATCTAGAAACGCAACGTCAAACCTGCACGGCAGAGGAGGAGAAGGAAGGAGGGAAGAAAAAGAGAAAAGGAGTAACAGCAGCAGCAGGGCCCACCATGTAGTTCCAGATCTTGAAGGAGCAAGAGTAGGCTCTCGCAAGGGGCTGCGCGTCAGTTCCGTAGCTCACTGGCGACCAGATTCCCTGCCCGAGGTCGAACCTCCAGGTATCTCCGTACATCCCGTACCGCGGGGAAACTCCTCCGAAAACGATCAGGCTCGACGCGAACGCCTCGGCCGCATGCCCGCTTCTCCTTGAAGGGAGCGTGCCGGAGGGCCTCGCTCGCCTCCACACCTGCGTGCTGACGTCATCCTTACACTCGGAGCGATGGGAAGCACCATGTCGTTGATGTCGGCGTAGTAGACCTTGTTGGAGAACTTCACTCGGTTCGTTGACCCGAACAGCACGATCAGCAGCTTCGGGCCCTGCAGAACGTCAGCCGGTCCAGCCACGGCCATCACTGAGACTTTACAGCAGCGTACTCCATGGTGTGGAAGGCAACCTTCGGAACTGCCTGACCGGACCCAAGGAGCTCCGTCCTCTTCCACTTGAACTGCTCGGTGTCGTAGTACCACATACTCGACACAACTTTCTCCGTTCCTGCTCCCCCGTTTCCTTCTCCACCGACGACGATGATCTTTGAAACGGAAGTTACTGGCCCAGCTACATCTCCAAGACTATCCTTGACTCCAACCTACGAACTCCCACTGTTCCTCCACTCAAATCCAACCTCTCTCCCACTCCCTTGCCCTCTCCCTCTCCCTCTCCATGTAACCAAGTCCCCTCCCAACACCATTCTCCCTTCTCTCTCTCTCCCTCTCCTTCCCTCCCTCCCTCCCTCCCTCCCTCCCTCTACCTGAAAGTTGTAGAATATTGACGTGTGTGCTGCTCTGCCCGACGGCCCACTCGTCGATGGATCCCACGTTATCCAGAAGGCAGAGTCGGGGTTGACTTGCAGGGTCCAAAGGTCGTTCTGAAGGACCGTAGACTCGTCGATCCCTCCGAAGAAGAAGATCTGATAGCCTCCTGACCATACAGACACGTCAGACATTATCGTGCTGCCTCCAGCCTGCGGTCTACCCGAGCTGGTATCGCTCTGGTACGCCGTCGACGAGTGGAACATCCGGGGGCCGGGCCCGGGGCTCCGAGACCTGGTGGGAAACGACAAGGTCACGTAGAGCTTCACCGAGCCCAACGGCTGCCAGGTCGTACTGGTCCACGTTGACTGCCGACCACTCTCCGCTGTTGATGCTTGTCTGCGGCTGAAACCTGAGCAGAAAGTAGGTCATCCCCGAGAAGCTTGTCCGACCCGAACACTTACATCCAGATGTCACTGAGGACAGACTTGCCGTCGCTCCCCCCGAACAAGAGGATCTGCGAGCCAAGGATGTCCATGGAATGTCCATACCTCCCTGCTCTCACCGTGACTCCACGACAGTGGTCCCCCTAGCTCATCCTCCGTCCTTACCCGTCGGGGCGACGTTGCTCAGCGACTCAACCTTGACCCACTTCGACTGCGAGCCAGAAAAGGCAAACTTGAACATGGCGGCAGAGAAGCAGTCGTTGGACAGGCTTGTCGTCGGGCAGGCGCTCCTGGTGTACGTCCGCCCTCCCCACACCAGAGCAGCCACGGCATCCGGGTTATCTTTCTGCCACAGGACTCCCCTTGCTCCCTCCACCGGCGGAGGAGTGACGGAGTCCCCGCAAGAGGAGCACTGCTGCAGCGGGATGAACTCGAAGGAGAGTACGTTGAATGTCCATGCATCGTTGAGCAGGCAGTGGTCCTTTACCACACAAAAGCCTCCCTGACAGACGCTTGCTGCCGTGCTTGGGTCGCAGGGCAGGCCAGCGGTCTCAATGGGTCCTCCTTCGCATATTGAGCACCCGTCCGTCGCTCCTCCGAAGATGAAGATCTCGTTGGTGCTCTCGATCTGAACGCTCACATGCGATCGACGGGGAGGAGGTTGAGGGCCCGACGGGATCATCTCAGTCCACGATGAATCGCAGGGACGGCAAACAAGAAGGGCAAGAAGGAGGGAGAGATAAAGATTCTGCGCCAGAGCAAGGACTCTCTTGATGCTGTTCTCTTGGCCAGGAGAGTTCGACATGCTAACATCCCTTGACATGTTGCTGGCTATTGTCCTGACGTTGAGTACAAACACAAAATCATCGACTTTGCTTACCGCTGAGTCCCCCAGCAATCCTCATTCGTCTTCACCATCAATCTCTTCCCTTGAACCCTCCTCTCCTCCTCTCCTCTCCTCTCCTCTTCGCCTCTCCTCCTTGAAACCTCTCTCCTCCTCTCCCGCGTCCTCCCATTTCGCCTGACGCTCTCCCATAGCCATCGAGTCCCACTTTTGGACGAAATCATCGTACCACCCCATCCACTACCAAGCGGAGTATCCCCTAGAAAAACTTTTCGGACCCCACCCATCAGTGAATGACCCTATCCTTGTCTATGTGGAACCCCACCAATATAGACAATTTTCAACCCACTGTTCACTCACTACCCCTCTCTTTCACCCCACCCTCAGGATTAGCACTTTTTTTTAACCCCACCCTCAGGATTAGGACTTTTTTTTTTGGACTGGTTCAAAACATCACCTACCTGGTTATTTCCAAGCACTCAGTACTATAAACCACCGGTCCGACGAAGGCGCCGTACCCCCACCCCCAAAGATCACTTGTCAAATGCAATGAAAGCAAGGAGAACAGGGAGGAGGAAGGATTCCCAACGGAAGGGAGGAGAGGACATGCGGAGAGGGAGGAGCCGGTGCGAGAGAGAAGAGCAGAGGCAAGAGTGTAGAGCAGAGGGAGAAGAGTGAGGTGGAGAAAATTGCAGATTGCAGAAGAGAGGGAGGGAGGGAGAGAGGGGGGGGAGAAGTGGGGCAGAGGGAGGGAGGGAGGGAGGGAGGGAGGGAGGGAGGGAGGGAGGGAGCTACAAAACATATAGAAACATTTACTATTTACACAAGGACACATATCATGATTCAAGTTCATGGGGATCAAAAGCCATGGGATCTTCAAAGCCTTCACATTCCGAATGGGTCGAGTAGTCTTCGTCAAGTGCAAAATCTGGCTCAGGTACGGGCAAGAGATCTTTTTGGGGGTCCTGATCAAAGACATTGAGGACAAGAAGCTTGTAAAATTAGAACTCACCGCTTCGTCCTCCTTCGTTCCATAAACTCCTCCATTCTTCCACCACTTGGAGGACATGATCGTGAACTCGTCGCTCTGCTCGTTTTCTTCATCGAGCGTCATGTTGATTGAGTTGAAAGCATGAGTCTTGTTCATCTCCTTTGCAATGGTATCGTAATCCCCAGGGATGACGACATCGCCGTCGTACGACTGGATCATCGTCTTGTCCATTTGCGTTCGGAGCATCTCAGGCAAGAAGGAAATGTTCTGATCCCGAGGTATTCTTCCTGCACAAATCGTTCACGCTATGAGGAAGGGCTGCACTCTAACTACCTGAATGGAGAGGAAAGATCGGGTCCACCCTCAACGCCTTGAACGACTCGATGTAATCAATGGGGGCCCCTTGCTTGTACAAGTTTTCCTGCACCACCGTGATCAAGTCGTAGACGGGGAGCCAGCAAAGCTGGTGAAGAACTCCCACCTTGAACATCTTCACCAGGTCCTCCTTGTGGTGGGAGATTGCTAGACTAAGAGGACAGTGACCAAACCTGCCAAGAACTTCACTGGAGAAGTTTTGAGCCTCAGCGTGAGGTTGAACCGATTCAGCACGTCGGGACGACACCCTTTCTTTAGCAAGTATTCCGCAATCTCTGTGTTGCCCCAAATTGCTGCGATGTGCAGAGGCCTGGATAGAGTGTGAAGAGATAGTTCGGATGAATAGGAATACCTATCCAGCAGAATGTCCTTGGCATTATAGTCAGCTCCGTACGATATCAGCAAACGAGCTATGTTCAATGACGAGTAGATGCAGGCTGAAACCAGCTGTGAGACTGAACTATGGAAAGAAACGTTACTTTCACCCCGGTGGAGGGCAGTCCGTCCGTGATTATCCTTGTGATCAACCGAAGCGCCAGCATTCAACAGGAGCTCAGCTGCACGGAAGAAGTTCTGGTCGCAAGCGTACTGCAAGGGAGAGGCTAGGGTTGATCAGTGCGAGCACATGGTGAAGGGCTGAATGTACACCTAGATTCGCATCGACTTCATTCGGTGTTGCTCCATTTCTCAGCAGAACAAGCATCGCACCTATTTCACCAGAGCCCGCAGCCAAATGCATCCCTGATACCTGAAATTCCTGTCAGCGTTTGAACTAGCAGTCCCATGATCCCACTTTGAACGGCGAGTCAAAAGAAGATCTATAAAGAGCTCCCATCTTCATGTATTTCTCCATGAGGGACTGGTTGCCTTCGAGGACTGCCTGTACCCAGGATCTGTCAAGGTTTGAACCAAACTGTTTGGAATAAGCTACTTCTTCAAACTCATATTGCAATGTCAGGTTGATTGCCCTGGAGATATTTCGCTTCTTCATCCCAGAGAGCTGAGAGCCTTGGAATCAGCAACGAAGGCAACTTTTGAAGGAAGCTCACTTCTTCCTCTGTAGGATAGTCCTGTCAAGAGTTTAGACGTTGACAACTGGTTCTATGCAAAACCTGGTGATACAAGAGGAGCGTACAATTGTTATTGGCGAGATAAAAGTACGTGGTATCGGTAATACATGAGGAGTTGACGATCTGTACAAGCAATCATCTAATTAAACGGGGTGTCTACAACCGCCAACCTTCATGTTGCTGTTCTGTAGAAGGGCACTCCTTGATTGAAGAAGTGTTTCCCTGGATCGGAGATGTTCATTGCAAAACCATTCAGCTTCGCACAACACCTGATTTTTTCCTTTGATTTAGCACCGCTCACTGCAGGATTCAGCTCTTCGGAAGTGAGAGCTGAGAAATCATTTATATCCCCCAGCTTCACACCAAGTCAGTGTCTGAACATTCCAAGTTCATGGGACTGATAATACCAGCCCAAACTTGTTCTTCATCGCTTTCAACTTCTTTGACTGGAATGGCCAAGGGGCATTTTCAGTATCCTAATCCTACAATTACAATATACAGATAGAACGTAACGACTAGACCTTTGGACCATAGGGCAATGATTCTCTATCCCAAATATGATCAACCTTCTCGGGCTTTTCTTGTCGTGGGATTTGTTCTTCTGACGTTATCGAAGTCGCTTTCAGAAGGTCGTCAATCTCTTCCACTGCATCCTTCTGTGTCTCTTCTAAAGTCTCCTCCTCTCTGTCAAATTCCTCCAACACCTGCCTTTTCTCATCCTCCAAGATTTTCTCAGCGGTCTCCTGCTCCTCCATCATCCGGCTTAATGTCATGTTGCACTTGAAAGCCATATCTCTCTCAGTGTGCATCTGTCGCATTTCTTTCTCGAAGGATTTCTTCAGCTTTAGTAAACTTTGAATCCTGTAACGGAACAGGCTTCGGTACATCGCTTCTGCTTCATCCTCAGACGTTTTCTTCACGGCATCATCTTCGTTTTGCATATATTCTTCAGATGATTCGCTGCTTCCTGTAGTTTCTCCGGAAGATCCTCCTCGCAACTGCAAAACAAGACAACTCGCACTCGAGGAAAGCTCATCAAGCCTGATGTTGATGGTATGAAACGAGGACGGCAGTGGTGATAGTGATGATGATGGTGGTGATGAACATGCAATGATCACACAGATCAACACGAGCCTCCTCCTCCATTCCCCTGGCATTTTCGCCGCTTTCATCTGATCCCTTCACACCATCGCAAGTCGCATTCACCCGATTCTCCACACTCACAACCCCACCCCTGGGGTCATGGCAGAATGAGCTACCCCTACTTTCAAGGTTCCAAGTACCGGTTCTTTAATACCCCATACTCCCAATCAAAATGGGTCCTATAGTGAAGTTTTATCCTCTATTGGTGTTATAGTCAACAATCTCATAGTCAATATTTATTTTTTTTCTCGGTTGTGCGCGTGCGCAGGAGGAATTGAAGCCATGGCAGCGGTAAGCGAGCAAGTGACGGCGGTGATGGCGGGATGTGGAGGAGGCTTGAAGTGTTGGGGAGGGAGGTGGACATGCAGGATGAGGAGACATGTGCAGGGCAGATGAGGTAGATATGTTGAAGGAGGAGACGCGTGCAAGAAAGATGGTGAGACATGATGAAGAGGTAGCTGTGAAGGGCACGGGTGAAGCATGGATCGGAGAAGGCCTTGTTAGACTGGAGGAGAAGGTTTGTGGACGGTGAGACAGAATCAGAGTGCTACAATGTATGCGAGGAGCAGAACTTCTATGAAGGGAGGGAGGGAGGGAGGATGGGAAGAGCATGGAGAGTGGTTATAAAGCCGTGAGATGTGTGTTGGGCCAGGGACACAAAAAATACAGTGCTGATGATTGAAGTGTGGCCAATGATCTCTTATTGTATTGCAACTTTGTGAATGAAGAGCACAAGTTTTCAGTCAGATGAATTGCAGGAAAGCAGACGAAAGGACAGTTTTATCTCTGTTTCTCGTGAGCCAAATGCTAGTTCGGTTCACTGTGACAAGCTCATGAATGATGACACATTGAAATTCTTGATCATGAATGTTATTTCAAATCAATCTTGTTATCTGGGTTAGCTCTGTTCGTGTACCTGGGTTGCTGCTGTTGATGTCGGACAGGCCGCGAATCATTCAGTCATTTCCAAAAGCTGACTTGTCCGTTCAGTTGGATGAAAATATGCTCGCGTGCACATACGCAACCCTGATTCTTCACGATGACGGGCTTCCCATCACCGCTGACAACGTTGCCAAGCTTACTGAGGTCAAACTAAATGAGAGGAGGAAAAGATTTTCTCACCCCACTGCAGGAGGCTGGACTAGAAGTCCCGGGATTCTGGCCGAAACTCTTCGTCAGCGCCATCGCCGATTCAAACATCAACGAGCTCATGATGAATGTCGTAGCGACTAGCCCAGGAGGAGGCGCAGCAGCAGGAGGCGCTGCTCCTGCTGCCGCTGCCGCCGCTCCTGCTGCCGGCGGAAAGCCCGGTGAGAATCTTGAAACTGCTCGTTCCCCTGCTCTTACTGACTTCCTCGGCAGCTGCTGATGCCAAGAAGAAGGCACCGGAACCTGAGGAGGAGGAGGACATGGGATTCTCATTGTTTGACTAATCATTTAGCATGGGGAATTAAAAGTCATCTCTGGGAATTTATTGTTATAGTTAATGCAGGACATGAAAGAAACTGTTTGTTTTTGCAGAAGCGTCTACCGATGGACTCGCAGCATCTTCTCTTGTAGCGCCTTGCGCTCATGATAGGGCACTGGAACGTACGGACGTTTCCCGCATCCCCCGCTTGGACGGCGATTGTCAACGATGCCTGGCAAGCGCCGCCGGTCGTTCTGCATGACATGCTCGTCATTTCCTAACGTATCACATTCACTTGCATCTACTGACCTCCTTCTCATTCTCCTCCTTCGTTACAACGTCTTCGTTGGCCTGCATCACAAACGACTTCCGTACTTGCAAGTCCCGACCCTACTCCACGCAGTCAGTATCCTCCATGTCATCATACGAGTATCCGCGCCTGCGCAGTCGGAGGAACGCTGAAGTCTTCACTGCGTCTTCCCTGAGATGTTCCTGGCTTGTTTGCGGGATACTTGGAACCTGGCAGTTTGCTCTGGAGCTGTGGCAAGGGGTCAGCTGGAGTGTCAAGGAGCCGCACAACCCACTTGGCTGAGCTGCCGAGGGACGCGGATTGTGTCGACGAGGTTTTTGCTTGTATGGCCTTCAGTGTCTGGACCGCATTTGATCGCAGCGTCCGCCATCCTTCTCTGGACTATGGGATGATTCCTGGGGGATTGTCAGCCGTTGGACATGCACCAGGCGCAAACTCATCACAGGATGTCGTCGACTGTTGGTCTCTTTGCTGGGTCTACTTGAAGGAGCAGGTTGACCATGATCGAGAGATCTTGACTGTATGTAGCAGGTATTGACGGATACACTCCCCGAATCACCTACATTTGACAACCATGGTCCATCAACGGTCGATGAACATGATTAGTATCACCTTCTCAGCCAGGCTGCGTTCATCCCGCGCTTCGAATGGATGCTTGAGGGCTGCTAGCTCGTACCTTCATCCGCTTGTCAAATACAAAGCCAGCAGGTCGAGGCTCTTACAAGAGGCATCCCACAGACCAGATGTCGGATTTCTTGTTGTAAGGCCTTCTCCTCCAGATCTCGGGTGACATGTAGTATCTTGATAAGAGTGTCAGATGCACGTCGACCATCATGGAAGTTGAGCATGGAGCTACGTACGGAGTTCCGATCTGAGTGTACGCCATCCCACCCTTCGTGACCTAGCAAGAACATTCATTCCTGCGATCCGGTTCTCCCTTGCAGCTGCTCTATCACCTTTGCTACTCCCAAGTCTCCAATCTTCACTTCTCTAGCAGCTACAAGAAAGATGTTTTGCGCTTTGATATCTCGATGTAAGATGTTTGCAGAGTGTAATGACCTTAACCCTTGGCAAGTCTGCAAGCAACAGCAAGTGACTACATCAATGTCATACGGGCGAATCTGCTCCTACCTGTATAAAGAATCCCCATATCATGTCTTCATTCATCGGTTCATTTCTCGCTGCGTGCCGTTTGACCTGCCACTCTCAATCAGCCATGCTGTCAGCATGTTATGGACTCTACCTTAGCCCCGATGTCCCCACCCCTTGCAAGCTCAGTAACAATGAAGAGTCTATCATTCTCGATGAAAGCATCATAATATCTTACAACATCAGTCATTCGCATGAGCGATCTGATGTCACATCGATGCGATCTCACCTGATGACCATGTTGTGATTGACTGACGCAAGAATCCTGACCTCGTTCACTGCATCCTCCCTCTCTCGCTGCGACATTGACTTGATGTTGACCTCCTTGATCGCGTACTCCTGGTTGTCGGAGCATCTGATACAGCGATAGACTCTTCCAAATGATCCCTTGCCGATGAGCCTGAGGTCTCGGAAAGACTTGAGACTGCTACCCTCGCTCATCCTCTGCCCTAGTCTGATCAGGAGATAAGAGTTGTTCAGGACGGGGTCACTGTCATGAGCAGACTGTAGAATGAATATCAGAACCAGAGAAAAACAAGAGAAATCTTTTCAAGTTTTTTGTTGTATACAAAGAGAGTTAGTTTTGCATGAAGATGATTTCGATCCCAGCGATGCCGCGCATCGCTGGGAATTGTTTTTCAGTCTGCGATGAGTGCTTTTCTATGCCGAATGAATTCATTAGGCTGCATGCGTAACGAATTCCGTCAACAAAGGTGATATTCACTTTCGAATGACTGACGCTCACTGCTATTTTCTACACCGTCTTCCGACAGGTCATCGAACAGTCTTCTGACACTTCCAACATGCCGCACACCCAAACACTTCATCATGCTTGGCAAGATCGAATCCAATCTCTACCAAAACTTGCAATTGAGTTCGTAACTACATGTAGAATCAGATCATGGGGCATTTTTTCTCTGTAAATCTCGTTCTTCCTCTCCCTCCCCCTGCATCCCGTTCCCTTCGTCTTTCATTTCGTATTTGCTAGATAACGGCTTTTCCCTCATAATCTCATCCCCCACCCCCTCTTTCCCCTTTGATTTCCCTACACCCCTCATACACTTCGTGTTTGCCTCAAGGCTCTACCGTACCGGTGCAGTCACTGTACCCTCCCTTTTCCCTCGATGTACCCCCCACCCCCACCGCTAATGCCCGGGCCCAGCATCGGAAGCCGGTAGCGCGGCTCACAGCCGACTCTCGACTGAGAAACTCAGAACCTGTAAGAGCGGGGATGTGGTGTCAACCCGCCATTTCAACGGCTGCCATGTCCGAGGACGCTGCTGGAGCGGGGGGAGGGGAAGCCGCGGAGGAGCGGAGCGGAGAGGAGGAGGCAGGGGTGTCTCTTACCAAGGATGATATCAAGACCTCGCTCAAGGGACTGTCGAAGACGATTGATGGCAGTGGATACGCGTTCACCATAGCAGAACTGCCCGGTAGGGGGTTGACGGACATAAAAGAATTGCAGGGGTACGTGCACTTGAGATATGTGAACCTCTCGGGGAATCTGATTACAGAGCTCGATGCTCTTTCGGAGATGAACCATCTTCTCTCTATCGACCTGTCGAACAACAGATTGGAGAATGTGAAACTGCCTGCGCTGGAATTCCTTCAAATTCTAGATCTCTCGAGGAATCGTATCAAAGAGATTCAGGAGCTCGCCTTTCCCATGTTGACAAAACTCATCCTCAGCCAGAACCAAATTGAAAGCATCGGAAAGCTGGATGGGAACCCGAACTTGAAGCACCTGGACCTCGTGGAGAACCAACTAACATCATGCGAAGGACTAGGGGTATCTTCGTTGGAGCAGCTGAAGCTTCGAGCAAACAAGGTGACAGGACTGAAAGGGCTCGAGAATGTCGTACATGTCACAGAGCTGGACATGAGCGAAAATGCGATCGAAAGCCTGGCAGGGCTGAATCCTGAGGGGAAGCTGAAGACTTTGATCGTGGCTAATAACCAGATCCCTACCATGGAGGCCTTGGAGGCGCTGGGAGCTTTGAAGTTAGAAAACTTGGACGTGAGAGAGAATCCGATGATGGAAAACTTTGAGAAGCCAAAGCTGATCAAGACGATCCCCTCCCTCAGCTCGCTGAATGGAGAGCCATTGACCGCTGAAGAGAAGGAGGCAGCGCTGAAGGAGGAGGAAGCTGCAGAAGCAACATAATGCGAGGAGTGCGGGTGAAAGAGAAACCTATCATCCTGGGAGATCGCTTTTTAATGATGAAGGGAATGGGAGCAAAAAGAGTCAATAAAGAGGATTGCTTGAATTTTTCTGTGCAATTTAGATACTTTCCGGCACTGTGTTGTCTAGGGTATATTTGCAGAGTTTGCCTGATCTGTAGTTCGCGATGAGGAATTTGGCTGCTTTTGTCAGTGAGATTATATTTTCTATTTTCCCGCTTGTGTTGCGTTTTGCCTGCTCAAACAAGGACTGTTTCTCACCCACGGCAGTCAAGATCTCACCAAGGTCAGTGCAATCAGTCGGGAGCGATAATTCTGTGAGGTAGTTGGTTGACTGGCGCATGGAGAGCATGTGTATAAGAAACTCGGCGAGAATAAGGGGGTCGATGAGCGAGTCTTTGATCGCTCCAGTGAGAGCAAGCTTCAGGCCGTCGATCACATCGAGATCCATCTTGACTATCCCGGGGGTGTCCACCAGGAAGGATGGAGGTTTCACATGGAACTGAATGGTGGAAACATGCTTAGTCACTCCTGGAAGCGCCCCTGTGTTGGCAACTTTGCCCGGACTCTTCTGCTTGCCATCCTTGTAGCCAAAGTTCCTAAGCGTGTTGATCAGAGTGGATTTCCCTGTGTTGGGAATCCCGACTATCATGCACAGGAGCGTTCGGTCAAGCCGGGATATCAATCCTCTAGCATGCAGCTCCGAAGGCATCAGCTCCTTGATGTTGGCCCCATGGACTGCTTGCGTGAAGGTCACAGTGTCCCCCTTGTCCGTGAAGAACTTTCGCCATTTCTCACGCTCGGACGGCAAGATCAGGTCTTGCTTGTTGAGGACTATCACGCGTCTCTTCCTGGCCAGCAACTCCTGTATCCGTGCACACTCTGAAGTCAAGGGGATCCTTGCATCGCGAACCTCTATCACCTGCCATGCACCATCATTGCGATCGAGAGCGGTTCCAGGGATCTTACCATGTCCGACACCTTGATGCGCTGCTCGATCTTTCTGACGGCCTCTGCCATGTGCCCGGGGTACCAGTTGATCTTTGAGGCATCGAAAGAACGGAAAGACATCGAGAACGAGGAGGAGGATGGGGGCGGAGGAGGAGCAGTGGGGGAGGAGGCGGAGCGGGACAAGGAGGGTGCTTGCTGCCTTTTTAAGTATTTCCATTAAATTTATAGGAAGCAACTATTAAGCAGTTGCTGCCCCGGTGTTGCAGAAATCTTTGCAGGTTGGAAATTCCCACACAGCCGGAGGGAGCAAGCATGCTTGAGAAGAAAGGAATGAAGGAGCAGGGAGGCAGGGAGCAGGGAGGCAGGGTGGGAGGCAGGGTGAGAGGCAGAGTGGGAGGTGTGAGACTAACCTTCTAGTGTTGTTCACAACTTCTGCAAAAAACGAATGTTTGTACTTGGTTTCCTTCTACCTCTTCTCGATGCAGTCTCATCTCTCAGATCTCCCTCCCTCATACCTCTCCTCGATCCATCTAGACTCATCCTCCCTTGTTGATCACCAGAGTTTGATGCTGCTGTCCTGTGAAGCAGAGAGCAGGCGGCCGGAGGAGGTGAAGCACAGGCGAGACACTTTGTTCTCGTGATTGGTATCAATCACGGCGATGCAGGTGTGACTGTACAGGTCCCAAAGTCTGCCAGGCAGAGGGAGGGAGGGGGACAGGGAGGAAGAGGAAGAGGAAGAGGAAGAGGAAGAGGAAGGGGGGAGGAAGAGGAGAAGCAGATATATCAGGCAAGGGCGTCAGGAGCGGTCAACCGACTACCTGATGGTCTCGTCATCTGATCCGGAGGCCAGGAAGTGCCGATGGGGCTCGAGGACAAAGTTTTCTCCACAGACAGGGATGAAGGTGTTACCTGAGATGAAACATCAGAGAGGACTTGTCAAGTATCACAGTGTCGATCACAGAATATCAACACTTCTCCATGATCGTTCTCCTTGTCGTCCAGCACCTGCAGATGATAGCTACCTCCCTTCCCAGCAGAGTACGTCACTGCGCATTCCCAGCCATCAGGGAACTGTTCCCCCTTCCTCGTCCTCCCGATGCTCGTGTCCCACTTTACCCTGCAGGCCTGCTTGTCCTGCGAGACTCGGGTAATGACGCCGGGACCTCCCTTCGACTCGTCCACGTTGTCCCTCCTCTTCAGCCACTCCTGTCCTTCACTCGACACCTTCACTCGCATGCCGACCGCAGGAGGCGTCTCTCTGCCCACCAGCAGAGCATCAGGCGAGATCGGCACCCAGCCGCCATAGTCGGCTCCATCGGGAGGGCCTGTGCCGTCAGCGCCTGAGATCTTGCATGCTCTGGTGAGGTAGTCCGGTAGCAGGTCGCCGACGACGCCGTGCCAAGACCCCATGAAGTCATCTCCTGTACCGTTCCAGTCCCAGACCTCCACTCTGACAGGGATGTTGCGCACGCTGCTGCCTGTGGGCGACTTGATGTCTCGAATCTCGGGAAGGATGAAGAAGAATGTTTCGTTCCATCTCGGATTCCTGTTCTGTTTCATCACCCTGGTCCGGGCGGACTTCTCCTCAACCTTATACAACTTCCCGCTCACTTTCACGATCCCCCCCACGATCACCACAGCGAACGGATCACTGGAGCCCTCGCCGTCCATTCCAACGTCCGCCACGTCCAGGTCCCTTGCCTTCAACAGGCTGATGGTGACGCAACAAAACCGCTGGCACTCTTCGCCGGTCCGGTACTCCGACATCGTCAGCTGCGACTGAGCCCGCCTGGGGCTCTCGAAGCTCGGGTTCTCATCCTGAACCACCTCATGGAGTTGAGAGACGAGGACGGAGGTGAACGAGGAGAGGCTGGTCACGTAGGCGCTATGACCCTCTAGTCTTGTTATGATCTTGGACTGCAGATGGTCCATCACTATGATCGACTGATCGCTAGTGGCCACGTACAGCCGCCCCCCGTACGACAGCAAGTCATTGCAGATGTTGCCCTGGAGGTCCACCATGGCGAGGGCCGCGAAGCTGAAGACATCCCAGATCCTGACTGTAGTGTCCATGGAGCCTGAGAAGATGCGTCGATCGTCGACACACAGTGCGGTGATGGAGCTAGTGGAAGGAGAGGACAAGCATCAGTCATACTCGCAAGCCAACAACTTCTTCTGCCTACCTGTTGTGACCTTTGAGCACCCCTAAGGGCTCGGGCCCTTCCGCGTCGGCTCCCTTATCTCCTATGAATGTTGCATCGTAGACATGGATGTTCCGATCGCTGGATGCTGTGTACAGTCTGACGAGCCCGTGAGCAAGTTCATGGCGGATGTTGGGGTTGATTCGCCTGTGTACCAGGCATGTGATGTTGCCCTGGTGCCGGTTGAACTTCTGCAGACAGGGGATGGTCGAATTGGATTGAAGCATCTCCTCTGCGATTTGAAAGGTGTGGAGGTAGTTTGAACCCGTGAACAGCTGGAGTGAGTACCTGCCGCTGCCAACCGCCAGGCAAGAGACCACCTCATCGAAGTACAGGTCAATCACTCTGATACATTCACCCGTCGTCATATCCCAAACTCTCACAGTCTTGTCCATCGACGAGGAGAAGAGCAGGTTCTCATGCTGGCCGAGGCTCGTCACTGTCTGGTAGTGACCCCAGAGTGTTCTTTCGCACGACGTTGACAACATCTCGCAGAAGTCAACCTGCCGATTCCGAATCGTCGGCTCGTGCATCTCGTCTAGGGTTTCTTTCTTGAGGTAGGGGAGATCGCAAGGTCGAATCAATTCCTCTACCACAGAGAGGAACATGTTTCTCAAGTCGTTCAATATCCGATGACGTGCTTTCCGTGACCCTGGTTGGTTCTCGGGGCAACAGCAACAATCCGCATCGGATGATCGAACTTTCTTCTGATCGATGTCTGGGAGCATTTGTTAGTTGGTTTCAACTGCTTCACAGTCCTCGCCTGTTAGATTCAGCTCTTCATTCACTGCAACCTTCAAATCTTGGAGCTTCAAGATCTGCGCAAGAATATCCTGAATGTACTCAACGATACTGGAGGGATCGGTCTTGGATTTGAACACCATGGCGATCATCAAGCACTTGTAAGCCAGCACTTTATCCTCGTCATCACCTTGTAACATTGACAACACCTTGTTCGCCAACCGTTTCACGTCACTCAGGAGCGAGTCCGCGGCATAGAGCTGGTTGAGAATCTGAGCACTGACAGACTTGATCAGGCCTTCGATCATGGCGTGAAGATCCTTCTTCACTGAAGGGTTGATCCCATTCCTCACAACCTCCAAGCTGCAGAGACTCGTGAGCTCGTAAAACACCACTAGCACAGCTGCTGACCTTGATCTCATCTTCTGCAAGATGGTCTGAGACGTCTGAGCCTTGAAGCTCAGGTCAGAGTTGTCCACAACAACCTCTGGCCCCCAAGGTCTTCGGATGACTGTCTCGTCCTCTTCTCTTGTCACCGTCTGCTCCATCTCACTTCCTTCATCCTCCATGTGCTGCCCGTCTTGAAGCCTCAGGCTCAGCAGGACTTGACCAGCATGCGAGGAGTCCGCCTTCCGTTGCACAGCATGGAAAGCTCTGGAGTCATCAGGAGTGAGCGAGAACCTAACGAGCAACTGTTCAGCAAGAGGAGCAGAGAAACACTCGGACAGCTGACCATCTCTCTGAACGCTCTCCTTTGACCAGGTCCCTTGAGAAGTTCACGTACACTTGGCCGATCAAGTCATCCCGGTCGTCGTTGGCGTCCCACACCTGCACTATGAGTGGGAGCGACGCTCCGGCCTGGTCAAAGGACATCGAGAATGTTTCATTCCATTCCTACACAGCATCAAGACATGTGATGAACGATCATCGAACCTCACAGGACGGTATGTTTCGTATACAGTCTTGCTTCTGAACCTCTCTGTTCCGTCATACCTCAAGACCACGTAAGGGTCACAACCGTCCCTGTCAGAGATTCCAACAGCATCCATCTGCGGCAGCCCCTCTGCTCTCAGTATCCCGATCTCGAGGAAGCGTCTCTCGCCGAGCATGCCTGACAAGCAGGAGGCGTCACGAGCTGGCTATCAAAGTCGTTGAGCACCGGGCGAGTCTTGGACGTTCCTTGAACCCCTGCTGACCTTGTAGATGGGGTATGTATCCGTGTAGACATGAAAGAGCTTGTACGCGAGTCGCAAGGCCCACTCTGTCGTCTGGCTGAACTTCTCGTTCTCCTGGAGCGCTTGCTCCGTTTCTCGTCGTCGTTGTACATCTTTGGGCAGCGACAGAGTGTTACCAAGAGACCTGCAACGGCATGTATGATGCGGCAGCGAGGAGGATCATTGAGTCGACCTTATGATCGAGAGGTTCTCCTCCGGGTCTGCTCTCCCTTCAGAGGGAGGATGGTATGTTCCTGTAGAGTCTCCGTCTGTGCCTGCAGCAGGGGCTATGTTTCCTCCACTCCCCCGAATCACCATCCCCCGCTCCAACGTGGTCGTGACATCGTTGAGAGGCTGATGGAACGTCTCTTGCTTGTTCTGGTAGGAAGAGTTCGTCCTCCAGTCTCCCACATGCCTGCTCTTCCGGAATCCCATCTGCACCAGGCACCCCATCCCGTGCAGCCCTTCCTGTTGGGGGTATGGCCGAGACATGGCTGCTCGCACATCTTTCTTGTACTCCTCGAACTCTTCGTCAAGCTTCTTTAGCCGCGCCTCCTTGTTCATAGCTGCCTTGCTCCTCCCTCTCCCTCTCCCTCTCCCTCTCCCTCTCCCTCTCCCTCTCCCTCCTCCCTCCTCCCTCTTCCTCCCTCTCCCTCTCCCTCTCCCTCTCCCTCTCCCTCTCCCTCTCCCTCTCCCTCTCCCTCTCCCTCTCCCTCTCCCTCTCCCTCTCCCTCTCCCTCTCCCTCTCCCTCCCTCCCCTCTCCTCTCGTTCTCGCCCCTGCGGTCTTAACAGTAGTAACCCAGCGCCATTCCCACAAACTGTCCAACGGAGGTGGGTGAGACAGGCTATTCAGGGGGGTAGGGGTAGGTGGAATCAGATCCACCGACAGCAACTAGCAGACAGCATAGAAGAGATCATGGTATCATGAACAATCAAGCGAGAAGTTGTAAAGATATGATGTGTCAGACTCGCTGCTGTCTGCTTCCTACCCATGAGGCACGTGAAGGGGACTTGTGTGGTGGTTGGAGACGAGTGGAGAATTATCACAGTCAACAATAGCAAAATGACTTTGTGTTTCACTGACGCCTCTACTCTTCGTTTCTGCATGCAACCTGTGCTTTCTTCGTGTCTTCGTCCGCCGTCTCTCCTCCCGTTGTCCACATCAGTCTGCGATTCAAGTTAGCCTCGATCAACATCCCAGGAAGAAGAAGCAAAGACCTCCGTTCTTCCTCAGAGAAGCTCTCCAATGACAATCCTTCTCTCACTCTCAACTGCTATAGCATCACCCAAGAGCAGCAGATGGCAGACTCTTCTTCCAACCTCTCGCACCCCCAAGTGGTTTAAAGTAGCGTATTGATACAAAAGACGATCTGCCTCGTGAGGCTCCAAGTCTGCATCGCCGAGGTCAAGACCCACAGGAGATGGTTCGCATGCTTGCCAGACCTGTCATCTTTCCTCCCAGCGCCAGCTCCCGCTTCCTCCTCCCCCTGGCGAACAGGTCATCGTGCTCAAAGCGTATGCTGGAAGGCGGCCACTCCCACCAGTGAATGCAGATTCCCGCTGCAACGCTGACGTTGAAACTCTCCGTCAGCCCTGACAAAATTCAACGACGTCATGACCAACTCAGATTGAAAGGATAGCATCTTGTGATCGTTTACACAGGGGAATACATGAATACCATGCATGTCAATGCAGAAATCGCCATCGCACAGCTCTGACATCTCCTGTGAGTTACTTAAGCTCCTGGTGTAAGGCGTCGCTTCTTCTCACCGAGGAGACGCCATTCTTCTCGTTGCCTATGATCAATGCTGTCTTCTTGCCGAAGTCAACCTCACTGGCAGGAATATGAGTCCTCTCTCCCTCCTCCTTCAAGATTGCCTGAGCTCTACAGGGTTTCTCGCGGTGTCAGTTTGAGGGTTTCGTGGCTTGGCAGCGAGGATCTGGGAAAAACCTTCTTGACGGAGGTGATGCAGGCAGTCTCCAGCGGTCTACGAATGAGAGTGACAACCCTCCAGCTGGCACCCAGCACTCACGTTGTGGAAGTGAATCCTCAGCCACTGCTCCCCGCCTTTCGTGATCGACTTGGAGAGGCTGGTCCTTCTTTGCGGCTTGTCCCTCACATAGCGGATGACATGCAGGTCGAGCAGCCCCAACGCCTCCGCCGTTCGCATCACTGCCGCATGGTTCCCAGGGTCTTGCACCCCATCAATGACAATTCGAAATCCGGACATCCTGTTAAGGACAGCTCTCTGCAGCTTTGCGAGCCTCTGAGGAAGAGCGCTGATTACAACCGATATCTCAGCAGCTCAAGCCCTCTTGCCTGAGGAGCGACGGGCAACAGCATGTGAATCATCGGCCCCCTGCCAGCCTGAAATACCAATCACATCTCCCGAACGAGTGTCTAGCAGCAGCTCTGCTGCTATCGCTCTCCTACCCTGACAAGTTTCAGATCTCCCCACTGCCCTAGCCCCCTCAGCATACTCCCATCCTCTTGCCTGCTCTGCCTCACTCCGTCCTCCCTACCCCAGTCCCCCTACACGTGTTTGATCGCCCGATCGGACGAGTGCATGTTTCAAGGGGCTATCCCTCGTCCCCCCGCTGATCCATTCCGTTCAGCTGCTGCTTATGCTGCTCACATTTGAGCGTGAGGCCGAGATTAAGTAGAGGAGAGGAGAGGAGAGGAGGGGAGAGGAGTGGAGAGAGGAGGAGAGGAGAGGAGAGGAGAGGAGAGGAACAGGGAAGAGAGGAGAGGAGAGAGGTGAGGTGAGGACAGGAGAGGTGAGGTGAGGAGACAATGGACTCGTTGGCAATTGTGAAGGACATTCTGGTGCTGGTCCAATGCTTGGTCGAAGACAGCTCCTTTCTGGCATTGTGCAAGAAGACGAAGTTGGAAGAGGGCCTTAACACCCTGGTTGACATGAAAGAGAAAACCGCCAACATGAAATGGCCTAATGTCCCATCAGATATGACGCTCAACAGGCTGCTGAGGTTGCTCGCTGTGACCAAAGGGTTCCTCGGCTCGTTTAAAGATCCGCGGAAGAGTTCTGATGAGCTTGAAGTGTTCGAGAAGAGCATAGAAGGGACGATTCAGTCAGTCACAGGATTCTGGCAGAAAGCTCTTGTTGAAGCAGCCAACCCCGATGAAGAAGAGGATGCCGATTGGTGGCCATTCGACGTGCAGATGAAGACTTTGGAAGGGTTCACACCGGAGACCCTGGAGATTGATAGGAACCTGCAGGGGTTGCCAGTGAAGCAGATCTATGCTGGAGAGGGGAAGATCATCGGTGTGGGAACATACGACGGGGTAGAGGTTCATGTAAAGATGCCGAACAAGAATCTCTACAACTCAGCGATAGTCAAGAAAGCCCTGGAGGAATTCTCAACAGAGAAGTGCATGCTTGAAGCTATGTTTCATCCATACATTGCCACATGCCTGGGGGGCCTAACAGTTGACCCGCAATCTAATCAGCCTCTGATGTGGCTGGTATACGAGAAGTTCAGCATGAATCTGGTTGATGCTGTGAATAAGAAGGTGCTGGAGAGCGAGGACACACGGCTGCGAATCATCTGGGGGGTCCTGCAAGCCATCTCTTACTTGCATGTTGAGTTTCGACCCCCTGAGGGTGACAAGACTCAGCCTTTCATCTTGGGCAACTTGAAGCCGAGCGATATCATGCTGGTTACCGACAATATCCCGAAGCTGTTCGAGCTTGGACGAACCAAGGTCAGCGACAAGTACCTGCGATCGTTGACTGGGATACCAGTGGTCATCGAGTACATGGCGCCCGAGCAGATCAAGTCGCACCAGATGACGACAGAGGCAGATATCTACTCCTTCGGGCTTGTTGCACGTTACGTATGGACGGGCAAGACGCCGACGAATGAAGGGCGGCCTGTGTCAAAGGTAGCTACATCTTCTGCAGCAGAGCGTTGGATGCCGAACAGGTTGATGGACGGAATGCCCAACGGAATCTCTGCCACACTCCATCAATGCATCAAGCCAGACCCGAGCAATCGACCAGATGCAAAGCAAGCTCTTCACAAGATGAAGTTCGAGATGGGGATGATTAAACAATCAATCATGCACGGGGGCGATGTCAACGGACAGAACGAGATGCCATTCTGGCGGGAGCTGAACATCTGGAAGTTTGGAGATCCGGACACTGAGTCCGGCAGCCTGACCAGCTCGAGGGTGTTTGACGATGACGATGATGATTCTGGCTTCGACGACGATCTCTACGGGATCAAGCAAGCGACGATCGACAAGTTGGACTCCATAATTGAGCAGTTTGAGCAGGTAAGTGACCTGGGGAAGGCGAATGGTGCTGACGATGAATGCCCAGCAAATCAACGAGAAGAAGCTTCTGATGGATTCAGATGAGCTGATGCAGCTGAAAAAGACAGTGTCGTCTGAGACCATGAAGGCAAGCTTCAATGAGATCATTGAAAGTATCAAACAGTCTGGGATGCCGGACCCCGGGTTGGGACCGGGAGATTCGGAAAAGAAGCTCGTGGAGCTGTGTGAAGCGACCTTCTTCACAAAAGCAACGGGGGCGAAGTCTAAGTCTGAGCTTGCGAGAGTAGAGCGTGACCTGTCGAGCATGAAGGGTATGTGGATTGAAGGTGGAGAAAAAGGATTTTGATCGCGCTATGCAGACGCATTCAGCATCGTTCTGTACAGATCAGAAGAAGAGTCAGGAAAAGACATGCATCTAGTTGAGCTACACTTGAACGGGGTAAAGCTCGATGCGCAAATTCTTACATGAAAGTTGAATTTATGTTTCAAGGGCTTCACTTGGAAGTTCTTGAAGGAGATGTTGGTTCAGAAACTGGGAATGAAAGAGGTGAGTGTCCTTTTGAACATGTTTCGACCAGTTTTGCAGTGAATGCACTTTCACTCTCCGTCATCTCCCGACGCCTTGTGGAGGACTGATGGGTTGACGCAGATCCATGGGATAAAGTTCGAGCTCATGGATTCGTCGGAGCAGTATCTGTGCCGAAATGAGGACGAGTGGATGGTGTGCTTGATTATTTTCAATCCGTGACAGCCTCTCACGTAGCTGGCAAGACCTGTGTACAGGCGATACTGAAGCAGCCGGAGGCGATGGCGAAGGCCTACCTCATGAGGGAGGTGACACGCTCCCCTGCTGCTGATGCGACCGTTGAAGTTGGTGGTTGCAAACGCAGGCGCCCATGAAGGCGTTCAAGGTTTCGTTGCCGGTGACGCTATCGAAGGGAGGGGAGGTGGGGAGGTTGCTGACCACGAAAGCAGGTCAGCACGAGCTCTCAGCCCGCGTTCCACAAGAAGAAGATCTCTTACGAGAACTTCTACGACTCGCCCGTCATGTACATCCTGTCGAGCAACAGTCAGGTGGGTCGAGTTTCCGTCTCTACAGGGGAGTCATTCTGGATTTCCTGCAGAACGTGCAGCCGTCGAAGGATACGAAGATCTTCGTGAAGAAGAGGGAGAAGGCAGATTCCGCTTGCTGCTCTCACAAAGTACTGACGCTTCTCCTCAAGACGGCGGTGAACTTCAGGATACGATCCTCGACCAGAGCAAAGGAGGAGGTAAGTTCGAGCCTGCCTGAGTTTCAGGTGGATGGAGAAGTTGACAAGTGATGGCTAGACTTCTTATCTGTACCTGACGGAGACTGAGACGAACATCGTCCACACACTGAAGGTGATGCAGAGACATCGGGAGAGTGAGCTGACGCTGGAGCAGATCTTCGTGAAGTGGAGCGAGGAAGGTTGAGTTTCCAAATTAAGGGCCAGGGCTATGTAAATAAGAATTGATCGCGAGCAATGAATATCCATTTCATGATGGTATAGCGTTTGACCTGGACAGCATACATGGCGGCACTGATACCATCATAGCATTGGCTGATTTGCTACCAACATACTCGGTCGGGCAAACTCTCAGTCTACCCGGCGGGCCGCCGGGTCCTGTCCGGGACCGTTACGGTCCATAAACAGTTTGCAGGCGGCCATGAAGGACTCTGGAACCAGACAGTAGGGAGGGAGAAGAGGGGAGGGTTGAGAGAGAGAGGCGCGAGGCTCTGAGAGATGGCATGCATGGTATCGATACAGGTAGAGACATGTGTAGAGTCCCTCAAGGAGATAACAAGTACACAGCAATGGTGATGGTCCGGGGCGGATAGAGTAGTGATGTTTTCGTTCGATTCACAATATTACGTACAAGTCGATCTTTCTGTGATGAAAGTGTTTCATTCTTACAGGATCATCTTACTCTTGGCCGGAAGAAATTATCTTTCAGTTGCTCGATGCAGCGGCATCCACCGACTCCCCTCCACACAACGATACAGGTTCGTCTTAACATTCGGGCGACCCAGGAGCTGGTGTTGAACAGTAGTTGACATGTTCGGAGCAGGACTATGCTTTTGAGAGCAGCCTGGAGTTTTCAGATGGGGGCTCGTTGTTCTACAAAGGATACAAGATCTCGAGCAGGTTCTGCCCCGCATGCTGTGGACCTAACGCTGGTAAAGTTTCAACAGAGGTTTGTCCGGACCGTCGGGCTCGGAGCCCAAGTCAGGTACTACTAGAGCTCCTGTCTCCCACCACCTCGTCTGAAGATGAGCAGGGCTGAGCGTTCACGACCTTGAGTTCACTAGTGAGATCGGGAAGGGGTCGAGCAGTGTGGGTGAGCACCGTCGGTCGATTTTATCCGATGTGTCAGTAATGTGCATGTCAGTATGGACAGCCCAAGTCCTGACATCTCCTGATCTGCTTCATCCCCATGGATCGCCGACAACAGTTGCTGTGAAGGAAGGGAGTCCATCAAACCCTTGATGAGCCGATGACGAGGATGTACAGGTCATGCATACTGTTCACGATCCCGACCTGCGGAGACAGCTATTTGCCGAGCTGCAGGTCATGCTGGAACGAAATTTCAAGAGTTCCTGGTCTGATCGTGGAGCAGAACATTTGCCCGAAGTTGCAAGCGAAGCCCTGCAGGAACATTGCGAAGATTTTCGATGTTCTCTACAACAAGGTGGTGACATCTTCGCAGTAGTGGCTCAACTGACCAGGAGGTTCAGGACGGAGATCGGTTATTCATTGTGTTGGAATTCTGCAACGTTGGCTCGGTCGATGACGTTGATTGATCGCTCTTGCTGGATTTACTCATAAGGTGTTTGCAGCTGGACAGGGTGATCAAGACCTGTGGGCCGGCACCTGAGGCGATGCTCTCAGTTATCGTTAGACAGGTCAAAGAGACCAATTTTACTCAGCATCTCTGACTTCAGTTGAAAGCTCTTCTTTGGGCTCTCGTACCTTTTCGAGGCAGGTGGGAGCATGTCCGATGCCCCAGCTGGCTCAGAGTGAGATCGATTCTTGTAGGGATACAGCATCGGGACATCAAACCGGCCAACATTCTCATGAACAGGTCAAACTCTCCAACTCACAGATGCAACGTGCATGACAACGTGGGATCAGCAAGGGGGAAGTGAAGATCACAGACTTCGGCTCGAGGTGAGAAGGCTGTGTGAGGAAACTGGAATTTCCTTTGCTAAGGATGCAACAGCAAGGCAGATGTGAAGTCAGAGACGTTCTGCGGAACGACGAGGTCTATTCGAATGTGCGTTGACGATTGGTTGTGATGTTCGACAGATACATGTCACCGGAGCGGCTCAACGGGAATACATACGGTGGAATCTCTTACTCACTGATGAGCTCGCAGTAGCACAGATGCTGACTGGTCGTCAGGCTGGCAGGCAGACGTGTGGGCGGCTGGCGTCGTCATGCTTGAGGTCCTCTCTCCCGTCCATGTCGTCGGAGCTCAAGGTCTCTGTGCAGGCTGGAATGGGAAAACATCCTTATCAGGCCGTCTACGGCGAGGACTGCAGGTGTGCAATGCTCAACCAAGTTGGAAAGGTGACAGGCTGATGAAAACAGTTTTGTCGCAATGCTGGAGTACACACAGAAGCCAATGCCGTAAGTTGATGTTGGCCAGCCTGTCAATGACGTTCCTTCTCATGTCAGACAACTTGGCGAGAACTACTCTGAATCCGCAAGAAATTTCGCAAGCCTCTGCGTCGTAGAGGTAAAAATGGCTCTACAGTGCCCCTTCTCCTTCTCCCTGCCTGCCTGCCTGCCTGCCTGCCTGCCTGCCTGCCTGCCTGCCTCTCATCTGAGATCGCTACAGAATCCTATGTTGCGACCGAGCCCTGTTCAGCTTCTCCCGGGAGGAGAGTCAGATCTTTCGTGCGCCCATCCCTTCATTGCAGAGCATTCGAGTCTTACCAGCATCGTAGATCGAGCATATCCTAGTATGCGGCTGTACTGACGTCCCTTTCCAGAGCTTGCTTCCTTACATATCGAGAGCGATGAGCGGGATGTGACAAAGGCATCGGCAACAAGGAATTTGTACATTAATCTACTGAGGGAGGAGGGGGCAGGCAAATTCAACAGCTCTTCCTCATTCCTCCTCCCTCCACTTCTTCTCGTCAATCTTCACATTCTGCTCAATCTCCGCTGCCGCCTCCTCCACCTGCTGCCGGTTCCTCCCTTCGACCCCGATCCGCACCAGCCATGGCCCCTCTTGCACGCTGGGGTAGCTTCCGATGTGCACGTGCGGATGCTGCGACAGCGTCACGGCGGAACAGAGCACGAGCATGATCACCTTGGACACGACGGAGCTTAGAGCAGCCGCCATGTCACCCTCCCCAACCTTAGTGTAGAGGTCCATCGCATGAAACGAAGGTCCCGAGAAGTGGTGCTTGTGGGCAGCGATCATGGGCTGGAAGAGGCGCGGGATGCCTGGCAGAATCAGGACGTTGTGGACGATGGCGAGAGGGACCCAGGGGACAGAGAGGCTCTCCGTGAAGCGAACCTGGCAGGGGGACGGCAGGGTCGCCATCCGCTTTCGCGCATCGGTGATCTCCAGCCCTCGGCCATGGTAGTATGCCGTCATGCGCTGCAGCGTCTCCTCGTGGACCTCCAAGGGGAGGGAAAACGCCCCTGCAATCGCCTCGTAGGTAACGTCGTCGTGCGTTGGGCCGATCCCTCCGCTCGTGAAAATCCAGCCGCCCTCCCCCACCATGTTCTTGAGCCTCAAAACGGATTCGACGATCTCTGCCTTATCGTCCCGCACGTACTCGACACGGACAGTGTCGACCCCTCGGCTATGTAGCGTCTTGCATAGGAAGGAGGAGTTGGAGTCTATGATGCTTCCTGAAAGGATCTGCCACCTCAAGTTCAGTGCAGGACCTCAACGCATTCTACAAACCTCGTCGCCGATTATGATGGCGGCAGCCTTGGGAAACTCGAGTTGAGGAGGAGACGAGGAGAGCAAGCGGCGACGAAGAGCATGAGGGGCAAGAGGGAGGACTCTACCCGCAATCTTCCTCGCCCCTCCCCACCTCTGCATCGCTCGCAGTAGCACTTGTGCTTGTATGCTTAGCTCATCTCTCTTTTTACTCAAAGTTAAGTTAAAATCAGTACGAGGACAATCAGGAGAGTCGAGCCCATCAGTTTACTCATCACCGTCGGCAGGTCCGGCCCGGCGGGCCGCCGGTCACACCGTCACCGTACTGAGTCGGACTGCCAAAACTTCGGCGGCGGCCGGCGGGCGGGCCCGGCCTGGCACCGTGTGGCCGCTCGGACTCAGTAATGGCCGCAACTCCAAGTTAGGACAGGAATTGACTTAACTTTGAGTAAAATCAAACGTTTCTCGTACTTTGAGTAAAATCATACGATTGAAGGACAGTGATTTCTAACTTAACTTTGAGTAAAGGGACTTAACTTTGAGTAAAGGGACTGGCTGACGGAAGGCCTGTGGGCTGGACCAAATGACACAGTGTCCGGTCGAGTCAGTCCGATCACAGAGTCACTGAAGCCTGGCTAGTTCCGAAGTTCGGATCACCGTTGTGGGGCTCCTGGGCCCGGCCGGGTCGGCGTAAGTTTCTCGGCTGTGGAGGGTCGTTCCGGGTGGTGTGCCGAGGAAGTACCGGTGGTGGACGGATGAGGGGTAGGGTTGCTCCCAAGGGATTGATGGTAAATCACTCTAATATCAAGGGGGTAGGGGTACCCTCCAGGGGTCACCGGGTATTCTCGGAGTTCAAGTTCGGTCTTTCAAGGGGTGGGGTGGGGTGGTTGGATGAAATGTGCCTGAGGAATCACTGCCTTTCACATACAAAAGAGGGTGGGTGGGGGTACAAGGATAAGGGGTAGGGGTACTGAATTTGGGGGTGAGTTATAACATGGACGGGTGTCAATGAATATAGTTGGCAGTCCAAGGTAGGGGTCCATATGCATAAGGTGGGGCAGATTGAAAAAAAGGGGGGTAGGGGTCCAGCAGAATCGTGGTGTTTGGGGAATGCATCGAAGGGAAACTGCGATGGCGACAAATCACGAGGGATGGGGTGGAATGGTTGCGACGAGGAGGAGAGAAGGAGGGGAAGCAGCATGCGAGAGCTGAAGGAGGAGGAGGAGGAGGAGGAAGAGGTGCTGGTAATAACCTGAAAGGACCGAGGGCATGTTGTTGATTTCAGAGAGGACAGCATAGGACTAGTGGCGCGGGCACGTGAGGGTTGCAAGAAGGTGCTGAGGAGGTGGCGAGGAGGTGACACGAAAGAGAGGACAACATCAATGATGACTCGAAAACGTTTGTCGTAGCAAGGCGATTGCGATCCTGCGGAATTAATCCTCCGATAAGGTTTAACGATGCATGAAATGTGTCAGGATTGGAGTGAAGTCAGGGTTCCAAAGAGATTCATTGTTCAGATTGAGCAGGTACATAGATACTACAGATGAGCAACAAGTTTCATGGTTAGATTGTGACACAAGCAAGGATAGGAGTCGATTGTTTCTTGAAGTGACTGGAAATCTGTACAGGCGGTTCGATTGTAGTACAAGTGGGTGGAAACAAATAAACATGGGGGGAAAAGACGAGGAGAAGGCAGTGGAAAATGAATTCATTACGATGCTGATGAAGCATCTGGCTCTTGACAAAAGCAGTGTGAATTATTTAATCCTTTGTTTCCTCGCTTGTCATGGGATGGTCATGACGTCGGTATTGGTCCTTGCAGGTATGCTTCGAGCCTCATTTCTTTTTCTCCATTGAATTTGTTGCACGCTCCCTACTGCACCTGTTGTATCATATACCTTCCACAGAACGTTTCTATGCCCTTGACCGAACTTATTATATAATCTCTACAGAACTTGTTGTAATTGTATAACCTGATTAGAACTTGTTGTAATTGTATAACCTGAATAGAACTTGTTTTAATTGTATAACCTGAATAGAACTTGTTGTAATTGTATAACCTCTATAGAACTTGTTGTGATTGAATCGTTGATGCAGATGAGAAGGACGACGTTGTCAGCAGCAGCTGCACAGTCCTGGCTGTTGCTTGGCTGACCTATTTCGTCCTCATCCAGTCGCTTCAGAACTCTTTCCTTCACACCGGATGGCTGCAAACCGCTGTCGGCATGTCAGGCTCGGCCAGCGTCGTCCTCGCCGTGTTCGCGTCCATGTTCGTGGTCCTGGAGTACCCGGACTTTGGAGTGCTGTTCGGGACGATGTCCGTGGTGTCAAACCTTGTTTCTGTGTCAGGCTCGTGCTGTTGGGAGCTGTACTTCCTAACGCACGACAAGATCAGTGAGCTGCACGACTCGGTGAAGTGGGGTCTTGTCAGCATGGTGGTGCTGTGCGTGGGGCTCGACCTGTCGTTCATCTTCTTGGAGATCTACGGTCAGCTGATGTTGACGTTCTTCGTAGCTTGCCTGGTTGCTGTGCTCCTCCCGTTGCTGTTCTTGCCCAAGGGCATCAAGGTCCCTTCCGTAGGTGAGGAGCAAGTCGACCTAGTCCTTCATGTCTTTGGCAACTTTCTGGTCAAACATAAGGCGGAAGCGGATCAAAAGATCTACGATCACTTGCAAAATGCTAGAAAATTTGCTTCAAACTTGCACGGGATTGTGTGTATGGAGGACAGGCTGTACGTGATGCTTGCAGGGTATGCCTTCATTGCCAACATCTATTTATCCGCAAGGCTCCTGGAAGACAACGACTTCAATCTTGGCCTCTTTTCCTGCCTGTTGATGTTGATATCGCCGATCCTGGGAGGCCTTGTCATATCCAACGATAAGCAACTGAGCAAAGAGGAAAGGAGGAGACATTTGAATGAGATTTCAATGTCTTGTCAGAGTGTTCTGAACATGATTGAGTCCAGTTGCGCTCAGGTCCAATGAGCGTCATCCTGGTTGACAAGAGTTTGACAGTTGTCTGCAGATGCCTACCTTGAAGGTTCTGTCTTCACCGCTGACCGCTGATGTGGGACGAACTTCGTCGTCGGACCGTGTGAACAAGCCGTCTGACCCGCTGCATTGCGCTGCCTCCAACGGCGCGACGGAGAGTGAAAGAGCGAAGGTGGCGGAGCTCACGTCGAAGATTCAAGAGCTTGAGAGGAACGAGGAGAAGTTGAAGGAGGAGCGAATGAAGTCGGCCAAGGTCGTTGATCGCCAGGTGAGCGAGGATGCTCTCGGTCGGACAATCCCTTGCTGACGGTCGTGCGGCCTTGCAGAAGGAAGAGATCGAGAACAAGAACCGAAGGATCGCTGACCTCGAGGAGCAGAACAAGGGGTTGAAGCAGGAAAACTCCCTGCTCAGCTCGAGCAAGGCTGCCAACTCTGAGTTGAACGGTTCCAGCGAGTCGCACATGGGGGGTCACTCAGTTGGAAAGGAGCAGAGGGGACGAGTTGGTCCGAGGGCAGAGGAGCAGGAGCAGCAGGTGAAAGCTCTTTCGCTCGAGATCGAGGGGCTGCGGAAGAAGGTGTTAGACGCTGAAGCAGAGTGCGTGCGCATGCGGCAGAGCCGCGATCGCGAGTTGGAGCAGGTGAAGAGTGAGCTGGGGCTGCAGGACAAGAGGAGAGTCGAGCTGGAGGCGGAGGCGTCAAGGGTTCGTGCCAAGGCGGCAGAGCTAGAGGAACTGCTGTCGCAGAGCAACAAGAAGCTCGAGGAGGCTCTGAAGTCGGTCAAAGATGCCATCCAAGGGTCCAAGGAGGAGGCAAAGATTGACGAGAAGTCGTTAAGCTCGCCTGTCCATGTTCACCGAGTGCTGCTGGGGGCTGCAGGGGAAGGCCAAAGGACCACGTTCACTCACCCAAGGAAGTACGTGGAGCCGGCCGGACAGAATCAGCGGGAGCAGGAGCAGGAGCAGGTTAATCAGGCTGAGAACGGAGTGACCATAGGGGAGGTGGAGATGGCTGCTGTTTTTCTCGCCTGTCGCAGCTGTCGAGCATGTTGATCTAGAGCAACTGGACGCATCAAAGGACGACGCCCTCTGGTGCTTCTGAAGGATTTCATTTGTCGAATCTCTTAACCTCTCGTGCCCCCTCCCTCTCCCACCCTCCCCTTGGGCTCTTTCTCAACCCCTCCCTCGCTATTTTCCTGCTCATCTTAACATTTTTTCCATTTGCAGCATATTGAACTTATCTGCTTTCGTTCGCTTGCCCTAAGCCTCCAACATCCACTTGCCCTGCTTGTTTCTTCTTTGCGCATCTCTCTTCCTTCTCTGAAAGTGCTAAAAGCATCGATATCATTTCTGCTCATATCACGATGATGTTGTGCTTCACAGAAGAGGAGGAGGAGGAGGAGGAGGAGGAGGAGGAGGAGGAAAAAAGTCTCCATAGCAGTTGAGCTGCCCTCTCCCACGAGCGCACCCAGACCTCTGGTCGGAACAGGAAACTGCTCCTTCTCAGTCAGCCATCGCAAAGACGCCCGTCTCCTCACCTGCTGCTCCGAGTTGCCTGCAGCCTCCTCCTCACCTCTGCCAGCTTCTTGTAGCGGGGGAACGGGGGGCACTTGCAAGATGCGCCTGCTTCACAGCTGGGCTGCAGCAGGCGCCGAGCGATCATGAGGAAGTCCTCCTCGTTCCTAGCGGTGAGATGAGAGATGCCGAGATCCTCGTTGAGACTTGATCCTAGAACATGCACACCGGTCAAAGTGGGAGTGAAGTGAATTTGGATGCCAGAAGAACGAGGAGGAGGGAGGAGGGAGGCAGAGTTGGGGGAAGGAGGATTGAGGATGGAGGAGGAGGAGAAGGAGGAAGGAGGAAGGAGGAAGGAGGAGGAGTAGGGAGGGAAGAGGAGGAGGAGGAGGAGGGAGTGAGAGCAGGAGTATGGGTAGTAGGGTATTAGATGAGGATGGAAGATGGAAGGGAGCAAGAGCTTGCGAGGGAGGAGAGGAGAATACCAACTCGATCACAAAGTCGTTCTCCGGGCAGCGTAAGAGTTGGAACCCCCGCCCAGAGAGCGTCCGCTGCTGTGCCATGAGCCCCGTAGCGGAGCGTGTCGAGATGTATCCAAGCGCGAGACTGGGAGGAATGAGTCGTGAGTTGAAAACAAGGGGCAGGAGGAGGAGGAAGAAGGATGCGGGAAGGAATGATGAGGAGGAAGAGGGATAACAGCAAGACCTTGAGGCTGATGTGCTCGGATTCTTCGCTCAATTCAGTGAATTTCAGTCGTTGAGAAGAGATGTTTATCGAATGTGCTTGTGATCTGAGATGTCCTGCAGCAACATCCGCGTTGTTTCCTGCAAGATTTGATCAGATCAGATGCACGTACAGCCTGGTTTCAACAATGGATTCTGCTGTCGTCTCAAAATGATACGAGAGAAGTGAACTTTGAGAGAATGGCTCTATACGACATGTATCTTGTCGTTTTCATATGGATTTGCCTTACCATGCTTCAACAACCAGAGAGCCGAGTCGTCGTCCGACAGAAGAGCTCTCATCCACAGCGACCAGGTTGACCTCCACAGAGTCGTCAGACACCACGAGCACAACCTACCTCCTCACCTGTCGATCTTCAGCATCCTGTTAAAAGACGCGAGAATGGGGCGATGGCCACAAGTCGACGTATTGATCCCTTCCTCCTCGGCTTCCTCCCGCGGCTGCTGCTCAAACTGCCAGCAAGTTCAGCACCCTGGCCTGCCGGACGCGACGAGGGACCTTCTCGGGGTTTCCAAGAGGGGGATGAGGGAACATATGAGCATGATCGGTCGCCAAGAAGGTGTGGGGGAGAACGACAAGCTTCTCCGACATCATCATCGAGTGTTCTGGTGGGACAACAACCTTGTCCGACAGGTACAAGTCGATCCAACAGGCTCCCGAGGTCCCCGCGTAGCTCCTGAACAGCAGCTGGAGAGGAGCTGGACGCAGAGCAAGGACGTCTGCTCGTGCTCCCTTCGTGTGGCCGTTGAGGTCGAGCAAGATCTGCAGGACTGAATTTCAGATTCTAGGAAGCAGGAGGGGAGAGGAACAGAGGCAGAGGGGGAAAGCAAGCTTCTCGTCACCATGATCTGTGCGGAGGAGATGCTTTCAGCCAGCTCTTGGGAGGAGGAGCTACGGCCAGTTACTGGTTCGACGCCGTGGATGACGTTCTCGACAGCAGCTTCCACCCTCCTCCTGCACTGACTCCCATCGCTCTTTGTCGTCATGATTGCGACGATGTGGAACTTTCTTGTGCTGTGGCTGGCCAGAAGCGTCTGCATGCTTTGACAAACAGTGTGAGCTCCGAAGTCGCTGGACATGTATCCTATCGTGATTCGCCGATCTTGCCGCTTGCTCAGCGTCACGACGAGCTCAGGTAGCAGCAGGCGGCAGCTCCTCGCAACATGGTCCGCGTGATTCCTGCTCACCTCCAGCTGGACTCTTGGGTTCACGTCGTACACCTGCGCCTCCCACGGGGTGAGAGAAGAGAGGTTCCCCCACCACCTGGTCTTCCTGCCCTCCTGCTGGGGTTGGAGCTGGTGAGGTATCAGTACCTTCATCATCCACTCGAAAAGCTCCTCAAATTCTTCCCACTTGCATAATTCCCGCAGTCGGAGCAGGACGGACGCGAACGCGTTTGACAGCAGCTGCTCTCCACCTGGGAAACTCCCGAGCTCGAGAGCCTCCCTGTAGTACCTTCCTGCTGCAGGGAAGTTTCCCAGCTCCTTCTCAGCTCGTCCGAGGGCCCCGAGGATCTGAGCTCTGTGCGGGTCAACCACTGCGCCCCACCTGTGCATCTTGAGGGCCTTGTGCAAGTGTTCGCGAGCTTCGACGAAGTTCTCAATGTCCAGGAGGACGATACCGAGGTCCTCGTGCAGGAACGCTGAAGTATGACCTGCTGCTGCTGCTGCTGCTGCTGATGATGATGATGATGATGATGATGATGATGATGATTCGTCGGAAGGGGAGGGCATGGATGAGCAGCTTGCGATTCCAGTTTGAAGCCACTTTCTCGCTTTCTTCAGCTTCTTGCCCTCCCTGAGCGTTTTGCCCATCCCAAGGAAAGCGTCGCATATCACTGCACGTTGGCAGACCTGGCTCCTTCCAGCAGAAACTTGGGGTTGAGATGATGGAAGCTTATGCGCCCCGCACAGGGTGAGCACCTTCTTGAATGACTTCTCGGCGCCCTCAAGTTTCCTCGCCTCCAACAGGGTCCTCGCGTATGCGAGCAGCAGGGACATGTCTTCCTTCTGCTGCTCCATCAGCTCCTTGTAGATATTGAGCGCTTCCTTGTACCTGTTCAACTTTCGCAAGACGAGAGCATACTTGACCCAGACCTGCGCGTTCTGTGGCCCCTCGGCAAGCGCTGCCTTGTAGTATCTCGCGGCGTCTTCATACCTCTCCAGCATGGAGTAAGCCTGCGCTAGGAAAGGAAGTGCAGCTGTTCGATGCTCCTTGAGAGCTTCTTCATAGCACCTCACTGCTTGCTCCCAATCGCTCTTTCGCTCAGCGATGGCGCATTTTAGCATCTGGTCATCCGTGCTTAGCTCCAACCCTGCCTCCTCTCGCTGCAAGATCGTTTGTTCAGCTTCATCGACATGTCCAAGTTGGAAGTGAGAGAGTGCAAGATGTGTGTAGACGATCGTCTTCTGCTGAGTTGACAGTTCTCGTTGGAATCTCCGCAGGAGTATGCTCAAACAACGCACAGTGCGCGAGAAATGAAGGGCTTCAACTGACCGGCAGGAAGCAGCCCAGGCTGAAGCAGCATATCCTTAGTGTCGCTCTCCTTGCATGGCTCGTTCAAACAGGGAGCGAGTGAAAACGTCAAGATCAGGATCAGCACTCTTGCAAATTGGAAGGGTGAACACATTCGTCAGTGAGGAGGGGAGGAATGAGGGAACTAAGGCGAGGGAGGGAGTGGGAGGGGAGGGGGAGAGGGGAGGGGAAGGGAGGGGAGGGGAAGGGAGGGGAGGGGAAGGAGGGAGGGAGGGAGGGAGGGGAGGGGAGGGGGGAGGGGGGGAGGGGAGGGAAGGTTGGTGGGT